TATAATCATAACCAGAAGGACGATTTACCTTTTGAGGAGTTATGCCTAAAAACTTCTTATCATTGGGGTAATCATCCGTTTTTAAAGCGTTCCAAACTTGAGTGGCTAATGACTCAGGTCTATTCTTGTAATTTCTCCAAGCTCTTTGTATAATCCTTGCTTTTCCGAAATCGGTCTTTGGTTTATCACATTCATTATCCCAATGACTGATCATCAATTCGCTAGGTTTAAGATAATCAACATATCTCTGCCTAGAATAATGAAATGATTTTTTAGGATTCACATCATCGATTTTTACAAGTTTCCAGCAACCAAAACAAATAGCCATATGGCTCTTATGAATTTTCGGTCTATAATAATCGAAATTAACAAATTTACCTTGACCAAATGATGCAAATAAAGCAAATCGATGGTACACACTAAATTTTCCAGCATTTAATAAATTCTGTAAAGGTACTCTCACCCGTATTGCCCATTGAGCTGGTGTTTCATTCTGTTTTATGATAGATAAAGTATCAAACAATCTCTCATTATCGAAGAGTTCATCGTATCGTTTTCCATCAAAAGTAAAATAATTTCCAATATATACCATGACATATTTCATATCATATCCAGGACGAATGTTAAAGGGTTTGGGTAATGTTCTATCTTTCTTATCGAGAATAGTTGCAATATCAAAACCAGACATATTTATCAATTATAATTTATAGTGATTATATTATAAGACTTATTTCGATGTGATTATAGTGCGTTTTAACAATTATGTACTTTGTTGTGTATTTAGGGTTTAGACCTATTATTTTATCAACTATAACTATATGTATATCACGATTCATTTTTTGTTCGATATAATGATAGAACCAGGTTTATTTTTCGTGAAGAAATAAATAACGATTCATATAATTATTTGTCTTTGTTCCACGAGATTATTTCTGTGACACCGCTAAATTATTTTCTCACTATGTATATGAATTAATTAATAAAACCTTTTCCTTACTGTAGATAGCTTTTCCGATAAGAAAAAAATACAAACGAGACTCAAAAAGGATATGAATGAGGAGAGTTTATTGTTCTTTATCAGCAATAATATCAAAATTCATATATTACGGAACTTGAGATCCGAGATCGCCAAAATTTGTCTTATTTTTTATTCTACAAAAGCGATCGTCAGACTGAAAGGTTTAATTTCCCCCATAAATGACGAAATATATTCAGTTCTTGACACCCATGACTTAATAGACCTGCCTTATGAAGAAAGGATCCGAGAAATGATCAGGTAACGTAATTACTAGTAATTTTTCTTCTAGCAGGTTCTCAGGTAACAAATGAAACGTATAAATAAACCAGATTTGTGAGGTATCATTTTTAATTTTATCGATTTTTTTTTGGAAAGAACTCTATAATGGACGGACAAATTAGAGTTACAGTTGGTAATTAAATTCTTTTATTAGCTTTAATAAAATTATAGTTAAGTAATATGTAACATTAATACTTTTTATGTAGTTGGATTAGATGCGATTTCTCTTTTCGTTTATGATGGCAATAACAGTCTTATAGATAGCGGACGAGTAACAAGACAAATAGGAAATTCTATTATGTTGTAAGTTACATAATTTCTCACAAAGAAGCAATTGTTGTTTTTCTTCCTTCGTAACTATAATCTTATTTTTGTCGTTTTGTATAATCATAGGTCAATTCAGAGAGAAAATCAAACTGATCAACGTTTAGATATCAATAGCAATAGCATTAACCTTGATAATATTCTTGCAAATCCAGGACATTCACATCAACAAACAGTAGAAGGAGTACAATTAAAAATTGAATACATTAGTGCTAGACCGGGAACTTTTCAAGAAGATGCAGGTGGTGCCAGTATTTAAAGTCAATAATATATGTGTTTTATATATATTAAATAAAATCGTGTGCCTTTTTTGAACGTTAGAATTATATAATTTATCAATTACATATCGCACAAAAATATTAATGTGCAAAATCTTGTAATAAAAATCGAAAGAATCAAATCTATTGTTTCTATTATATGCCTGAAGCGGGAAAAAATTACATTATATATTCCGTAAAAATAAAAAGATACTAGCCTTCAGGGATATCGAAACGTTATAGGAATAAATAGTATAATTATAAATCAAATGCGTTTTTGGGATCTAATGCAATCGCCAAAATTTGTCTTATTTTTTTATTCTACAAAAGCGATCGTCAGACTGAAAGGTTTAATTTCCCCCATAAATGACGAAATATATTCAGTTCTTGACACCCATGACTTAATAGACCTGCCTTATGAAGAAAGGATCCGAGAAATGATCAGGTAACGTAATTACTAGTAATTTTTCTTCTAGCAGGTTCTCAGGTAACAAATGAAACGTATAAATAAACCAGATTTGTGAGGTATCATTTTTAATTTTATCGATTTTTTTTTGGAAAGAACTCTATAATGGACGGACAAATTAGAGTTACAGTTGGTAATTAAATTCTTTTATTAGCTTTAATAAAATTATAGTTAAGTAATATGTAACATTAATACTTTTTATGTAGTTGGATTAGATGCGATTTCTCTTTTCGTTTATGATGGCAATAACAGTCTTATAGATAGCGGACGAGTAACAAGACAAATAGGAAATTCTATTATGTTGTAAGTTACATAATTTCTCACAAAGAAGCAATTGTTGTTTTTCTTCCTTCGTAACTATAATCTTATTTTTGTCGTTTTGTATAATCATAGGTCAATTCAGAGAGAAAATCAAACTGATCAACGTTTAGATATCAATAGCAATAGCATTAACCTTGATAATATTCTTGCAAATCCAGGACATTCACATCAACAAACAGTAGAAGGAGTACAATTAAAAATTGAATACATTAGTGCTAGACCGGGAACTTTTCAAGAAGATGCAGGTGGTGCCAGTATTTAAAGTCAATAATATATGTGTTTTATATATATTAAATAAAATCGTGTGCCTTTTTTGAACGTTAGAATTATATAATTTATCAATTACATATCGCACAAAAATATTAATGTGCAAAATCTTGTAATAAAAATCGAAAGAATCAAATCTATTGTTTCTATTATATGCCTGAAGCGGGAAAAAATTACATTATATATTCCGTAAAAATAAAAAGATACTAGCCTTCAGGGATATCGAAACGTTATAGGAATAAATAGTATAATTATAAATCAAATGCGTTTTTGGGATCTAATGCATGAAATGCACTTTGAGAGATCTGCATTTGATTTTTCTTATTATTATAAAATATATTATTATAAATTGTATCAGGTAATGGATATTGACATTGATGTGGCACGAAATTAAAAATCAAAATAACTGATATTCATGTCTACATAAATGTGAAATTTTGTGTCGTAAAATACCTTGAGCCTTCGTCAGAAAAATCGTAGACTAGAATTCCTAAAAACCCGAATATTAAAAAGGATTGGAACTTGATATTCCCTATTATGATTATGTTTTGTGACCGAAGTACAGGGGAACAACATGAAATATATCAAAAGGGATCCAAAAAATTTATCAAACAGAAAAAGCGGTATTATCTCAAAAAGAATTATGCGAAGAAAACTGGATTGTTTTAAGGTATGTTTGGTATTACGAAGACTCATATATAGTCATTCCAGAACATCTTCAAGAAATTGGGTCTTATAGAATAAACTTAACTTTAATTACTTTTGTGTGATTCATTTTTTGTGCGAGTGGAGATCACAGGTTATCAGGAACTCCCCGGAACATGTCACAAGGGTAGAATGCTTATATTTTCGGCGCAGGGCCAGTGTCGATTAAGAATGCTCCGATGCATCACTACACCATGTTTGAAAAATATATGCTCGAATCATGGGTGAAACTTTATTGATATTATTTTAGAATTTGTAAGGAATAATCGCCTGAGTTGACGTATTTTATTATCTGATAATCACGCTCATATCATATTACTCTTTAATGGGTAACCACGTATACGATGCTAAAATATCATAGATGATTCCTATCACTATGTTATATAAAGGGACCATATCCTTCTCTGCCTGAGCCTTATACAATGCGTCCGCATATTCTTTTCGATCAAGTTGTTGAAAAACAAGGGGTGGAAAGCCACCACGGGCAAGATAAAGCGCCATGAGTGAACGTCCCATACGTCCATTACCATTGTAGAATGGATGAATATGAAGGATGGACGAAAGTATGCGACATGCGTTCATAAGAGGGTGGATTTGATATGGTTCATGATCCTCAACATTATCGCTAGTGACGGTCTTGTTGTAAAATTGTACAAACCTTTCCATCAACGCGGGCACTTCCTCTCCATACTACAGAGAACACAAATTGAGCCATAATCGAAACTTGATAAGCGGATATTAATAAACTAAAACTTACCGGATAAACGGTCAAATGATAACCTACAGCCTGCATTGGCATTGTTCGAAACATTCCTGCATGCTGGATTTTGCCCCATACATTAACTCTCTCCTGTGGGGTATCTTTCAAAAGAGTACGATGGATCTTCTTTATATTGTCGATGTTTATTTCTTGTTCTGACTTTAGCAAAGTATTGTATAAGTAATGGGTCGCAAGCAGGTGGTTACGGATTTCGACAACTTCAATCTCCTTTCCAGGTTTATCGATAAGAGATTTCGGCTCGGGTAATTGTGCTCCCTCACGTTGCAAATCGTCAATGTTATAGTCTTGGCTCATTTTTTCCCAAATGATTTGTGACTCTGCACTTCCTAGTGAATTTCCCTCTATGACGCAACTTTGATGCGAAAAACTTACAATCATACGTTGAAGAAGATCTTTAACCGGAATCTCGATAGTATCTTTGATGACAGATATCTCATCCATAAAACAGGAATGTCTTGCATAAAAGTCTATTGAGGAAGTAAAAAATTGGCATAATTGTCATTCCGAACAAAAAGTCATGAAAACATAAAAATTTACTGTTCGTACCATAATCCTGTGCACGCCATTCAAACGGACGAAAATAGTTCTCCCAGACCTTCCCAGATTTACCAAGATCTAAATATTCTTTTGTCCCCTTCTTTAATTTTGAGAAAGAGGGAGTATAAATCTACGAGAAAAGTAAGAAGTATTATTTTCTGAACGCACGATCTGAAATATGTAGATTCAAAAGGTACCTCTTTTAATAAAGCCTTCCTCTCTTCAAGCTGAGCTATTGAAAAGTATGAACGAAGCTGAAAACTGTTGCGGACATAGGTAAAGACAGAACTTGTCAGGGGAAGAATTAATTTTCTACACAACATTGTAAAAAAAATTTTTGGCAAATTGACTCACGCTTTCACATGACTTGACGATCGACCATTGCTAAACATAAATATTGCCCCTGAATTATGAACTACACATGGTAGCTATCTCCCGTAAGGTGAATTTATTGTATTTGATCTAGATAGGCCTGGTTAAGGTTCGATACTCCACTAGATTTGCAGAAGAAAATAGAATTGCATCAAAAGTGCAAGATAAAAAGTATATTACCAGCTGAATCCACAAATTCTAAACTTGAAAAAATTCAAATCAATAATGTATATTAATAATAAATAATATGATAAGTAAGATAGATACAGTATATATATTGTTAGGTTTATTTATAATAAGCTATGCATTGTTAACTTGTCGCATTTCTTCCCGAACTGCCCATAACAATTGGTAATGTAATGCTAATTCTGAAGCGTAGAGACCATCAGGTCTGTATAAACACTCTAACCATTTTTGTTGTATTACCTTTACAGCTCTGATTTTTCTACCGATTTCTCTTGCACGCTTAATTCTTCTAACAGCATTTTGCATCCACAATTTATAACGGTGTAATGCATACTCGTTATCACAATTATATCCTGAAATAGATTTTTGTTTGATTCTCAGCAAATATTCATCATAACTTACACCACAGAAGGTATTTCCTGTACAATGGGTAGCCCAATGCCTCTCCATGATTATAATTACCTATATTTTTGGTTCGTTTTCCGGTATATACTAATTGATTACAAGAGAAGCAGATAGCAATACCAATTTCAGGCGCATAGCTTTTATAAAATCCATTAACCTCAGATCCATATGTTATTAACTTCCTAGCTTCAAGATATTTTTTACTTTCGGTGGGCAATAGATCATTCTTCCTGAAATATTGTAAGCGAGGCCAAATTCGATCCATCCACTCGCTAGGAGTTTCATTAGTACGAACTTGAGGCATGTTACAATATTCAACCCATTCAGCATAGGTACAATTGGTTCCACGTAATTCGCTTAAGCTAACCATCTATCTTATATAACCTATTTATAGTTTATGGAAGTTATATGTGATTATATCGTATTTAGGGATTATTGGACCTATTAGATTTAGTTTTATATTGATAGTTAAAACTGGATTCATTTTTAGTGCAGTTACTCAAAGATCGCCCATAGGGCCTGGGTTGTAGCGAGAATGCGGTTTAGAGTTAATTGTAAGAATTTATTTGTGTAGATATTTATGTATAAATCGTTCATGTATATATATCCAATTACTCATTGAGCATATGAAATACCTCCGTAGATGAAAATCTATTTCGGGTATGTGGATCTACATTTGGGATAATCGTTGCATAATCTATTTTGGGTGTATTACAAGCATATGATTTAATTTTCTAGTGATATGGGTGGGTGTATGACATTCACCATTTGAGATCGCCCGGTCCGAGATGTTCAAATCCGAAATGTGCAAATCCGAAATGAAGGCACTATGAAGGTACGTTGAAGACACGATGAAGGTACGATGTTTTTTTTTCTTATAAAAACATATGGAAATATCATATCTCAGTTGAACATCCGTTGAAATTAGGAACGTCTAAATTTTTCTGATGTGGACCGATGATCAACTGCGCTTACTAATTGATGAAAGAGAAAATCGAAATGGTGAGTATTATAATATTCCCGGTAGTAGCAGGGTAGACTTTTGGAATAATATTGCAATTACAATCAACCAACGATTTGGGACTACCTATACAGGACAACAATGTAATAATAGATTTCAAAATCTTGTTAGAGAGTACAACGTAAGCGTTAAATTTTATATACTATTTATCTATGACATTTCTAATGTACTTTTATATTGCCTATTTCACTGAATTTATTTTAGTCGATGTGCCAATACATAGCTGGGAGTAGAACCGGGAAGAGAAGCAGAGCAGGTGAACGTTTTTTTGAAGATTTTAATTCTCATTTTTGGGAGAGACCTGGTAAGATCACCTATATAATCTATCACTGTAGTAGTAAATATATAGATACATGGATTTACCTCGTATATGAAATATAGAAACCCCATTCGACATATTGCATAATACAAATACATCCACCAAAAGACGTCGCCGTAACCGTACCCCACCACCATCTTACGAAGTGTCAACAATTCTAAGTACGAGTCGCCGTGAATCTACCACTAATCAAAGGAATCGATCCGCATCACCCACCCAAAGAGCGACTAGTGAAAGGAATGAGAATAACAGCGAAACAGCCACCACCAATAATAACCAAGATAATAGAAGGAATGAGAATACCACTGAAACGGCCACCACCAATAATAATCAAGATAATAGAAGGAATGAGAATACCAGTGAAACAGTCACCACCGGTAATAATCAAGATAATGGAAACAATGTAAATAATGTTAATGATGTGAGTCAGCCACCTTCTTATATGGAATCTATAAATGAAGAGAGGAATCCGTGAAGCAGGATGTTAATACATCTGAAAAAGTAATAAAAAAAATATTATATTCCTTCTTGATTAAACGTAATTGCTAGTATATGTCCATCCTTTTAATTGTATTCTTTTCATCACCATAAACGAAGAAGTATGTTATCCATCTCATATATTTCAACGTGAATTGATTTAAAGGAATTAAATTTATTGCAATGACACTTATGTGCCTTGATAATCCCTCTGCATAATCAATCAGATAATCGATATGTTGTACATGGCTATGTAATGAAAATTATTTTTAGAATTTCGATGTGTACCACCTGACTATATATAATGTAATATGCATGCATGCATGTTTATTTGTGCGATTAACCAAATTCGATTAATTACCTCATGTACATACTTTTTCTTTGTAATGGTTTTTTTTGGCGTAAATACTACTTTCTTCCACTTTATTATACCCATTCTATAGATCCAAAAGAAGATTTAGAAAGAGATAAACGAAAACGTTTAAAAGGACAGTATATCGAAGTTATTGTTACTCGACGCTTTTACATTAGCACTAAAATATTTTAATCTTTTTTTTTTATAACAATTTAACTACGTAAAATGTCTAATACAGGATTATACAAAAAAGTTTATAATTTTCTTCATAATTCCCCCCTAGAACATATTACTGCAGTTTCAATGGTCCATCAAACAATAGAAGAAGAGCCGTGGTTTCCAAAAGAAGATTCGAGACAATTGATTCATAATGTGATCACGGCTATAAAAAATGAGCTTGAAGAGAATTCGGAGAAATATAGAAAACTTAATGAGATCCCTTTTAAGGTTAGTTTTTTTCCTACTCTCAAAAATTATTTTTTATCATCGAATGATGAATAGCGTAGAATCTTAAAACCAGATTGAGTAGATATCCAGAGCCTGCAAGCACAGGTTTAATCATTATTGTATTAATCCTTAGACGCATGGGGAAGTCTTCTTTGTCTTGGTTTGAGATGGATATTATATACGAATTATGTGAATTGTCATCTATGTGCTGGCCACGCATAGTTGGTGATTTTACATAATATATTCTGAAGAGTGTGCACACGTTTTTATTATAAGTTTCTCTAGAGCAACCAAATCTAACTTATTTATTTCTACGCTAGTTTGATGATGCTTTCGAAGGTGTGTGTAGCCTTAGAGATATTGATTTTGTGAAGCGAGATGAAGAGGTGTCTATTGAGGAGATTGAAACGAATTTATGGAAATTAAAGTTGAATCTTGGTAAAAGTTCAGCTCCATATGCCAAAAAATTAAGCAAATACCTTAAAAAAATCAAACCTTCTGACCTTTCATGGAAAGATCCAAAAGCAAGTCAAGTAATTAGTTACGATTCGGATATTATACAGCGCTTATCTGTGGAGGCAGAAAATGAATATAAAGATTTTATGGAGCCAGTAGAACGTATGGAGAGATTAACCCCTCATCGTATCAGAGATGTGTGTGATGAATTTGTGATGACTTATAGCAATACCTTATATGAGGAAATACCTATTGAACTCTCACATGGAAATTGGGATGAGTCGGAAGAAGTTCTCGAAGAAATTGCATCTGGAATTCTCGATATAATGTGAGTATAATATGGATTTTATTCTAAAAAAATATTGATTACATTTTTTCTGCTATTTGAACAGAGGTGATGTTTGGAGGAATCCAGCATTTGGAAATAAGTTTATTAAATCTCAGAATGAAGGAACATATGTTACAGATATTATAGTTCCTATGGTGAAAGCTTCATTAAAAAAATTACCAATAAAAAGTTTCGCTTTTGTTAGCACGTAAGTATAATATTATTATCTTTTCCGGATAATCATACATTTATATTTTTTATTCATTTAGAGCGGAACGACAGAGTATAGCAAGTAAAGATCGAAGAGGAAAGACTGGCAAACGTCCTGACATTATGTTTATGGTGAAGCGTGGGAAAAAAATTTATGAATTAATGTTTGCTGAATGCTCCCGTATTTTTTGTGATAAAGATAAGGAAGAAAACGATTGGGTAAAATTATGGCGAGAGATGAATGATGGTATGTATTGGGTACATAAAGGCTGTAAACCAAAAAAAGATGAATTCGGAATTATTGGGATACAAATTGCTGGAAAAAAACTTCATCTGAATATCCTTATTCGAGATAAAGATGATATAAATAGGCTTTTTAGATTACGTTCAATGGATATCCCGATACAATTCACAGATAGAGATACTGTTTATAATTTTGTGGAGACATTATTGCTATTTCGGGTATGGATTTATTTGTCTATTTTTTTATGGCGAATCTATATCTAACTTTTTTTTATAGAGAATCCTAATCGTCAACCTATCACTATTATTAAATGCGGATCGTGATTCACATGGAGATAAAGAAGATAGTTCAACAGTATCATCCCCTCCATATGAAAATTAAAACTCCATTATTATCTATATTATTTTTATCTATCCTGTATCTTATTTTATTTTTTACCGCATAAATAAATCCGACCGTGGTGGTCGTTACTTTAAAACTTTATTGATATTGATATGTAAAAATTATTTTTAACAGAAAAAATTCAATGAAAAGGCTGGCCTATGTGATAGATTCGTGGTATTGGTCCGAAGTAAAAGATTTACAACTATTAAAACTGTATCTGCTCATTTGCATTAGTTCTTATTATATGAGCAAAAATAGATTTACGTATAAACATGATAAGTATGTTAATTTTACTTCTATACTAATACGTGATATGATTTACATTTAAAATATTCACTAACATAATCATTTTTTTCGGATAATCGTTGCACATTATTTATTGGGCTTGCATGCTCCACACTGATCTCTGATTCGCAGATTAAAAACACATGATATCGCTCCAATATAACATGACATTGTATATTACATTGTATTAAAAAAAAATGAAACCTATGATTTATTCGATAGTGACTCTCAAAGTGAGGATGCTACCAAATCTGATAATTAATAACTAGATATGTGGTGAAGCAAAGAAGCGGGATTAATAATCATATAAGTCTATAATATCCTCGACTTCATCATTCTCTTGATTAGGTACTGGAATAATTGGTCTATTATTCATTATACCATAATGATCTGATGCGATATTAATTACCTTCTGTCTTAATGCTAATTGATGGAGACGTTTACGTTTGGAATCATTCTTATTTCGGAAGAAATGGTATTCATGGAGTCTTGAATTTTTTTCTTGTCAAAGTGATCGGCGCACGTGATTTTACTTTATTGTAATTTAGCTTTTCTGCAATTAAATATATTATTTATTATCACAGATATATATAGCATCCTCGATCAATGGCTCTAGCAAGACTATTTAATATATTATCTCGTTCTAGATTAATTGAATTTGATGATGCTTCGATATAATTACTGAATGCAGAATAAAAATCTGTTTCGTCTAATGTATGACTCAAAGAGTAGTCTCTAAAGGACCTGGTTATAGCTATCCCATTTTGTCCACCAGTAAAGATTGGAATAAGTGGAGGTAAATCAGAATCGGAGAATTCATCATCGGAATAATCTGGATGTTCGATTTTAATTTTAGAATTAAGTTTTTTCATCACTTCTTCGCTAACCCCTTTACATCCCTTCAAACTAAGATATTTCAAATTAGTACAATTGCGTGATATCTCCTCAACAGCTTTATTATCAATCGAACAATAACCAAGCTCAAGATGTCTAAGTTTTGGGCATGAGTGGGTAATTTCAGTAATACATCGATTAGTGAGACATTTACATGAATTAAGACTTAAGTGTATTAATTTCGGACAAAATTTTGCAATTTCTATAATTGATATATTACTAAAACCATAACTTCGATCAAGAATGAGAATACGTATATCTGGACATGAGCGTAGAATCGCACTAATCAACGCATCTTTGATTTTTAAACCTTCCAATCTGAGATATACCATCTTTGAACAATAGAGTGGCTTTATCTTTCCACACATAACTCTTTTAAACTTCAATAATCGCCAATAAAGATCTCCAGATGAATTGTTATTA